TCTTTATTTGAAACAGATTTTTAACAGATAATCTTGATCATTACAACAATATCTTGCTTGCATTTTATTCAAATAATTCTTAAAAACAGCTTAAAAAGCCGTTTGGAATAACATCAAGCTTGCCATCAATCAAACGAAAAAATTCCGCTGGCGGTTGTATAAACATCAGATCAAGTCTGATGTCTTCAAGGATTTCAGAGTGAACCATAAAAAACTCCATTAACTTCTGACAAAGAATGCAAATTAATCACAACATGGGGTGAAATGAAATTAAAGGCTCTTTTCTAATCAATGACAAGGCAGGATGAAATATTTGTTACTCTCTCTGCACTCAGACTGCCTAGGATGTTTGCACTTCCCTCGCAAAGCCCCAAATGTAAGGTGTGAGTACAGATTCACCCAGTTGCTGTTTAGCCCTCCCCGCCTCCCCCCACCCCGGCCCCCCAGAGCTATCTGCTTACAAGTCGTGGAGATTCACAGAACACACCAATCATCTGAATCTCAGGTGCATCCAATTTGTTATTCACACTCTCCCATGCCAGGGAAAAGCCTGGCGCAGACAGATGCACCAGGAACCCTAAATGACAGTTTTGGCCTCCGGAAGTACAATCACTACAGCAAAATCTAGTACAGCCTCCAGGTGAAATGTCTGGAGCTCCATATGGAGCAGGGAAAATTAACAACAAGATGAAAATCACTGCAGCAGCAGGGAGTCGGAATTTTTGAAAAAAAAAAAATGAAATTTAAAGATGAAGAAAGAGAAGTAATAAATTAATGGGGTGTGAAAACATTCAAAGCTTTACAATACCAGGGGCACTATTTGCTCAGATTTTTTTCCTTTTTTTAACTTCAGGTCATTTTGATGTAACTTATTAACCAAGATCGGGAAATGCAGCCAAAAGAAGAAGAACATTTTTACACATGCAAAAGTACCTTAAATACATTTGTTTCTATATTATCTTCACTTTCCTGTGGCATCTTGCTTACCAATTTCCAAATGCCAGAGCTGGCACATCCCCTGAGAAGTCTCCGTAATGGATTTACTATCATCCTAATGCAGGGTACTGTTGTCAAGTTTGAATGAAGGATGACAGTTTTTAGCAGGCAATCTTTTTCATTTCTCCTAAATTATGGTGTCGTTAAACAAACCATTGCCCACCATCACGTTTTTTAAGTCAACTGGATTTGGATCTACATGATTAACTATACACAGCTCTAGTCCTTGTCCGGACTTGCACATTTTTCCCGATGACTATTAAAGCTGAATTGTTCAAGAAATTGAGATACTATCTGTTTACCAGATGTTTAAAAACACAAGTTTTCATTATGCTATTGCGGAATATCCTTCACAGGCATGCAGAGTTTAATGGCGCTGGGGTCAGTGAGAGCTCTGGGTCCCTCCAGATCCATCACTCTGCTAAACACATGGTAAGAAAAGCAAAAGGGCTCTAGGGAATGGTCTTGTCACCATCTTCCACGGCACAACCCTTCTCATCTACACAGGAGGCCTCCTGAGGGCAGAGAAGGAGAGCCAGGAGAAGGGCTTGGTGGGGCTGAGCGGGAAGGAGGGCAGTGGTTTGAACAGCAAGCCAAAATCAGAGTTCACAGAGCCAGTCATTTGGTTGAGTCGTCTGCAAGCCCTAGATCTAACTGTACCCATTCATCCCCAAGGCAAGGCGCCTCATCTCTCTGAGACTCAGTCTGCTCACCTGGAGGCTGGAAATAACAGTCCCGAGTCAGATAACAACAAGTGCTTTGGAGCTGGATGTCGGAAAGGTGCTAGGTGAATCTGACATCGTTGTTCCTCCTATTATAAGCTGTAGTAATAAGACCGTGTATCTATAATGGCTCCTAACCTTTCTTTCCATAGAGCCCTAAACAGCATGCCAGTGAGGCTACGCAACTTTAAGGCCTAAAGGAAACTAAAATAGACAGTGTTTTCAAATAACAGATAAAAACCCAACCCCCCAAACAATGATATTCATGGAGAACGATTATCTCAATAAAAATCCAGTCCCTTAACCTTTATGTTGGTCCCCGGCTACTGACTCTCCCTGCTATCTTCCCAACACCCCTCCCTCATCTGCATCCCCACCAGATACACACAGTGTCACCGGCAGGAAGAGACGCTGCTAACAACGCTGTCAGCAGCACTGACGCTGGGCTGGGGGAAGGACGAGTCTGTATGCTGGCCTTGCCTCCCCTCTTTCCCTTCTGCTCATTTTAAACTCTGCTCCAGCTGCAGCTGGCAGGTTGCAAGCACAGCCTCTTGCAACCTTTGGTTGAGGATTAGAAATTCATATCCATAATCTTATTTGATCTGCATACTACTAATCAGATAGGAAAGGCAGGTATCAGGATGCTCATTTTAGAGAGGAGGAAACAGGCCAAAGCAAGAATTAAGGCCTGCAGTGACCGGAGCTTGTTAGAGCTGGGTTCTAATCCTAATCTTCTAGCTCCTGGTCTAGAGTTCTTTCAAACAGGCCAGTCTCCTCAGCTTGCCACTAGCGAAGGCAGCTGAGAGCTGGTTCCCTGGTTTGACTTTGAGTACCCAGCCCTGGGTACATAAGGGATGCAAAACTGTGAGATCTTAAGGATATATGAAAATCTTTCATGTGTTCAAGGGCCAGACCAGTGGGTAATAATTAAGATGAGGCAGTCCTCAGCCCGGTAAATAAAGCTTTGACTCTATGGTTGCTTTGTAAACTAGTGAGTTACCTATCACTGGAGGTGTTCAACTTTGCTTTTCAGAGATATTGTAGAGAGGTTTGATTCGATGTTGTCTGAGAACACTTTCCACTCCTGAGAGTGTGTGATTCACTCCTGCCTATTCCACTTGGGATTCAATGGCCCCAAACCACCTACAGTACAACAATGAGCAAATCAACCATCCTGGTTGTCCAATTTATGAGGGGAGGCTATCACACAGAGTGGTTAGGGGTTCAAATGAGATAATATGGGCCAAAGAGAAGGTATTATTTCATAATCCAGTCCCTGCGATACTATAAACATTTTTCTTCATGTGCTTTATTTGAAGGCAAAAGGGTAGAAAAGGAATCTATAAAGTAACCTTTCCCAATCTTCAGTCTATAGTACAAACCCTGTAAAATAAATGCCAACTCCATCAAAAGTCATTAATGATTCCAGCAATGAAGTGCACAAACTTCTGTTGAAAGACCTGGGAAATAGGCCTGATGGCATCAAAGCTGCTTCTATTATTTGAAATGAAAGTCCCAATTTGGTGACAATATTCTATCACGATTCAAGGAATACAGTTTTCCCCTCACTCTGGCATAACAGTGATTGCTACCTAGGGAGTTCAACACATTAGAATTTTCCAACTTCCACTCGACTGATCAAGTAAACATATACTTAAACATTCCAGAAAACAATACTGCAAAGGTAGACAGCCTCTTTCTAAATTCGACCAGAGCCTTCAAAAGCTTCATTTGTCAAATGCAATTGTTTCTTAGACTTATCACTTATCAAATCTCACTGATTAAATACTCTAGGCATTAGGAATCTCAAGAATACAGCTACACTCCCAATCTTTGGTATTTTTTTTTCTTAGATGGCTTATACAAGTTTTCTATTAAGACTTGTTTGAGAGAGAAGTTATATAGTGCCTCTTCTCTTCATTTACAAAATTTGAGGGGAATGCGTACACTGGCCAAACAGTGAATTGTTTAAAAATTACTGACAGAATAAGAGGCTTACCAAGATAAATATTCTAATGAGCTATAAATCCTGAAAATGTGATTTTAATTTGATGGGCTACCTAGAGCTAAGCAGCAAGGCTGTACACAGTAAAATCTCACTAAATGCGAGCACGCATGCCAAGTGATTACACTTAGGATCTTCTCTTTAAGGAAAAGATTATGTTTAAACAAAGAATCCTACAAATTTGAAAAGTGAGACTGACACTCTTGAACCTAACAACTTGGATGGTTTCTCCTCCACTTATCTGATGGCTTTAACTGTAAAAGAAAAAGGATACAAAAGAGACATTTCAGCGTGTGAAGGGGCTTTAAATGTCCACATGGGTACCAGGACAATTTGCTTAAAACTGCTTATAAAGATGGTAGAGAGAATGAGTCCCATCCAATTATTCAATAACCATGTTTGTGATGCATCTGCATAATCTAACCATGCATAAATTAGTATGTGTAATACAACACGTATTTGCATAATAATAGCAAGTTAATAGATGCTTAAAGAGCAGAGACCAACACCACCTTTAAATCAGACATGCCTCCGGGCACTTTGGCCTGTACAGACCAAGATGCCAGAAAAACAGGGAGCATCAACCAACAGTCAAACCATTCATTTTTCATCCCTCTAGACATTTCACTTATTTCCCCACACACACTGGGGAATCATTTTCAAACCACAAAATAGCTTTATATTTTAAGTGCTAGCACCCTTCTATAATAAAAATCTTAAAGAAATTACTATAGAGATTATTATCAGCAATGGTAACATAAGGGACATTTTATTTTCCTAGAAATGTAAATAGGAAGGGCAAATTTTTTAAAAAGAAAATGTTCGAAATCACAGCCACATAAAATTGGGGGCCCATCTATTTGCTTAGCAAAAATAATGACTTAGATTAGATATTTTCACCCTTCACCTCAATCCTTTAATTCAAATAACTAATTGAATCCAAAAACGCAAATAGTGTATCAAGAAAAGGCTGTGTCCCTTTTCCAACCTCAGTAAGAGCACATGCTACTGGGTTGGGATGAGGAAAAACATTACCAGTGCCACACAAAGGAAGAGCACAATGATGGCTTTCAACCTTTAACAAAGAGGAAAAAAATCTGGAGTATAAAAAAATCAAAAATCAATAGAGACTCCTAAATGACTCCTTTAAGATATCACTTTTCAATTTAACAGGACAGATTTATTTGTATGTGGCTCAAATGTTCACAATTGCTCCCTGCACTTCATACATAGGAATGAATGTCACAGTGGAAAACGGCAGTAATGAACAATCTTACCTGAGGATATGGAAACCTCCCAAGAGCAAGCTGAGAAAGGAAATAATATTTGTCTAGTTATAGATTTGCATGCAGGGCAGATCTTAAGACAGACAAGTACTAAATTTCAGAATTACATCCAGCAAATATAAAAAGCTCACAATCTTAAATGCACAAACTAAATTATTGCTGTAATTACATTGAAAGCTATATATAGAATGAACATTTACATTGGACAATGTTGTATCCCTGATAAAATATTCTATTTTTAACAACTAAACACTACCCTTACATAGTTTCTCTTAGGAATATTGTCAGCTGTACGGGCATTATTCACATTTACAAGTGTACGACAGTTTCTTCTAAACAGAGATGTAAAACCATAGGATACTGTTGGCTTTTCCTCTTGTAAAAATGGAAACACTTAATTGCTCCTAGTCCACAGCTCTGTAGAATTTTCAGTTATAAGTATTATAGGAAGAGCTGTAGGAAATGGGGAGTGGGCCATGTGAAATAGAAAATTTTGCCATTATTTTCATTTATTTGTTAGTTTTTTTCATCCATTCATATTTAGAAGAAAAGAGCTACTACTAGTGGGAAAGTGGCAGTTCAAGACTATGAAGTTGGAACTATAGGTCTGAAATTGGGTAACTGAATCCTTACAGCTTCCAATTTTATTTAATTAGTAAACTGCTATGTGTTTCTAAGCCACTCACTTAATTTTGGTCTTTGAATTCTCACCTGTGAAAACAAAATGATTCAACCAGGAATAGGATTGATATGAAGCGATAAGATCAAATTTACCAAACATACCATTATTTAAAGAGAACTGTGGCTAAATTTTGCAACTTCATAATGTGGCCCATCGTCAGGTCTGAAATCCTTTATAGGTATTTGTAAATATTTTCAAAGTAGAATCACTACATCAGGGAACTTTGAAGCTAGAATGGATCCAAGGAAACATCAATCTGTTTTACAGATTAGAACCCCAGAGTCTCATTGAAGATGTTTCCACACAGTTAATCAGTAGAAGCCTGGGGACTGACCCCAAGACTTGCAACGTAATCCAGGGTTCTTTCCAGCATATTACATTGCTTTTCTAGATCTTGAGAAGTTGTGCACTTATCTCAAAGACACTGACACTGCTCCAACATTTCTGAACTCCTATTTTGGAACTGCGTTTAGAATCATTTCAAGTCACAGAAGAACAACTACTTCATTTTATTAGAACTTCATCTTATCTTGAGCTTAAAATCATACCCCTCTGTTTTTTGATCATGTAAATTATTTGTTGACTAAGGTCTGAACGGCCTATGGGTATTACCAAAACCCAAAGCCAAATTCAAAGAAAAAATATTTTGTTCCTTAATAAGGATAGACATGAAGATGCTGAGGTTAATTTTTAAAGTTCTAAAACCAGTTTGAGCAACAGCAATGTAATAGGAATAAACCATATGACCATGTAAGGTGACTACTTGGAAAGGGCCAACACTCATTTGGATGTGTGTGTGTGTGTGTGTGTATATATGTGTGCGTGTACATATATATATATATATATATATATATATATATATATATATATGAATACTTGGTAAGATTTGTTACCTTGTACTCATTTCTTGTATACTCAGAATTCTCAGATTTTCAAGACATAAAGTTATACCATCATTGTTTCATTTGCTGGATGTCATTAATCTGTTCAACTATAGAGTGAAGGAAAGAGAGTATGGATGTTAATCAAACTCCCTTTCACAGTTTTGTGTGATTATGTCTGTTGTCTATATACTGCTATTAGTTAGGAAGGGGAGGGACTCAGCTCTCCACTGCCTCCACTCCACCCTCACCCAAAACAGGCTATTGATTTGACTTACATTCTGTAAACACAGTGTGTTTCTGGCCAATGAGAATGTGCACATTGATTCAGAAAGAGCCACTACGGTCTTTTGTGGCAGTAATGGGTGGGCTAGGCATTTGCACCATTCTGTACTGAACTGACAGGCAGTGACAGCTCACCAAAAGCTCATCACACCCATCTGCAGATTATGAGTTTTGCACATTCTTTCATTTGGAAAAAGTAGCAAGAGGAGGGTCTCTCGCCTGAAAAAGCTGACAGCTTAATAACTACTAGAAAACGTTTAGAACATCCTATCTGAAGTCCTTCTACAGGTGCTGCACCATTCACTCTGGTATATGTTGAACATGTCATTAGGGCCTATGGAAGAATTCTGTCCACGTAGCTTACCAGCAGAAGAAACTTGCCCACCATATATGCAGTTAAGGTCTAAACTAGCTGGCCAGTGCCAACACTGGCCATCGGTTCTTGTAGATTAAAGAACTCAGCAATGATAAAAGGAAGACTTTAAAAAAAAAAAGAGTAGGATGAGGTGAAAAATGTGAACTTTTTCCACTTCAACACAAAGCCTCAAATTCTCAAGTCATCACTATTCTATGGAGAGGCAAGGCTACAGCAGACTTGGGAATGTGCACTCATCTATTTGGCCCCCTCTCACAACTGGTAAAAGGTAATTAGGCTGGCTGATGATATTCATTTACTCTGTAAGAGACCTCCATCAAGAGAACAGAGAGAAAATTCAGCAGGGAGCATCTCTGTACCAGCCTGCTTGGGAACAGGTGGCGATGCTTGAACTAGTGACCTCAACATTCTTGGAACTGGCTTTACTCATGTGCACTTTCCTGATATCCTGTGGAAGCTCAGTCTTACTTGTCAACTACATTCCCGCCAGGACTGCTTCTAAGGCATCTTGCAGGTCTGACCTCTTTTCAATCTGAGGGCAGAGAATGGTCCCCTGTTCTTGACCAGAGACGCGCAACAATCATTTCCTCTCCCACAGCGTCACCACTGGGCTGCTCCAGTGGCAAGCCAAGGATTCCAATTCCACACTAGTGAAAACTGGCAGCGGTACTATAAGGCTGGCACCACAAGCAGTCATTTTAAGGCCCTGGGAGAGGGAGCTGCCTTCCACGTATGTCTCTGCCCTTTCAGGTTTAATGCAGCTGCAATGTTTATGTTCTACACTATTTATCTGGTGGCCAAATAGAAGGAAATATATAGCTAAGCCCTAGAACCTTTTTATCAAGTTCAATTAAGAGAAGTTAAAAAAGGAAAAGGGCTCTTAGCAGATATGGCTGAGGCTGTCAAAAGTCAAAATAAACACTGAACCCTTATGGGGAAGAGGGAGTACATATGCTATGAGTGAATATTTCAGAGACAGATGGACCTGGGGCCATTCTGTATCTTTTACCCTTACTGGTCTATTAATCTACTTGCATTTCCCCAGTTTTTATTGTCAAGGTATTATAAATTAGGAAACTTACAAAAGAGAGTATGTAATCTTCTCTGAAATGGCCTGCAGATATGTCACTGTACTAAATGTGTTTCAGATTTAATGAAGCTTTAATGTCCTTTTTAATTTTGCCTGTTTCTGTATCACCAGGGGTCGGGCAAGGCAATCAGCACTCAAGAGGGTGGTTTGGTTTAAAACTCGGAAAAAACTCATTTGCTTATGAGTTGCACTGTATTTTCTTAATTAAATTTACTGAGTAAAATGGTTTAAGTTCAGCCAACCAATGACCTTTGTATGTAGATGTAGATTTATAAATGGGTTAAAGAAGAAAAAAAAAAAGAATCACAACAAAGCAAACAGATTAGGGCTTAGCCAACGGAAGTCTTTGCCCTCTTCATCATCTTTACAAAAGAAGCATTTGAATTTAGGCAGCTTAAGTCCAGTTTAAAAAAAACGTATATTGAAAAATGTGGGCGCACAGAAGCGCCAGCAATTCATCAAATGACTCTAACATCCTTTTCATTCCCAGCAGGGGAGCGGCTCACATTGTAAAAGATTTGGAAAAGCTTTATTTTGGGGAAGTGGAGGTAGAGATGAGGGAGGGAGAGGATTCTATTTAATGTTAAATAAAAAAGTGCATTTTAATTCTAAATACGTAAGATTCAGCAAAGTGCTAAATACTCTGTTCGTGGTGGGAGATTTACTATGCAAAAGGCAGAAAAAGAATGCTCTAAAAACATTTACCAGTTGGGAATACACTTAAATAACAGTAAACCACTAACCTTTCACTGTAAAACTAGGACTGCTCCTCAGTGTTATCTTATTGATCTTTGATTTGTCCAACCATAATCTATGAAGTACTCTTGAGTTAGCAGTATCTGAATAGGTTGGACTTTATCATTTAGATAACCAATATACGTGTGAGTGCGATTATAACAATTGCCAAATACGTAACAAATGTGTGATAGAAACCTTTGTATTTTAACAAAAAGGGTAGAAGATGTTCATTTACAAAGCAACAAAGATGGCTTCTGTTGATAATAAGAATAATTATTGTCATGAAGTCATAAATGATAAAGAGAAAACATACATTGTAACCAGAAAGCAAGTGCAGGACACAAACTCAGGATATGTTTTTGGTGATCAACTGACCAACTTAGAATATCAACAATGTGGGAGTAGCTTTAAATTTACAGTTATGCTGAAGAGCACTGGATTTTATAAATTCTTAATTTAGACATATTCTATGTTTCTCAGCAAAACTGCAAATTGAAAATAAGCATTTTCAATATAGCCAGTGATCTAGTTGAAGGAGGACTTTATAGTCTGAAATGTTCTAAAATTTGTTCTTAATTACCCTTGTGCACATTTTACACAATTAAATTTCCATCGAAGGATTTTGCATTTAGATTGTGCACTGCAGTTAAACCTTTATTTTACAGAAATGCAGCAGCCACTTTGGGACATTCAGACACACGGAAACTTTAAAAAATCAGACTTAACTACTGGATTACATAAAATTCCCTAGGTGAGATTTCATCCCAAGACCAATTTACACAGTCCTAGAGAGAGAGTTTAAATCATCTGAAACTATGCTAGCGAAGGACCATAATAAATACTAAATACCTCAAAATCTACCCTAAGATTTTTCTTTTCTTCCCGTGTATCAATTTCACTGTCCTCTTACCGTATGGTTTAAAAACAATCCAAAGGATGTAACAGCAATTTACCAGTGTTAAAGTGCTT